TTTTTTTTCAGAAATTGTCTCGCGCGATGCAGTGATCATGGAGCTGAGCTCCAAGCTCACCATGCTAGCCGAACCCCCTGCATAGAAATATTCTGCCCACCTCAGCATATTGTGCATATTTAAGAGGCTTAAATAACTAGGTAGGTTGAAGCGCCAGCCGAGTTAGGCTTAGCTGGGCTAGCTGGTGCATTCTCCAAACGTCTATTGGTAGCAATAAACACCAGCTATTCCCCAAGCATTATGAATAGAAATGGATATAAAGAGGGTAACAAAAACCAAGTGCCAATTGAGAATGTGCCGACTTTAAAAATGGTTAGAACCCACTGGTAATAATAATAATGATAATAATAATAAGTGCTAAATAATATAAAATAGTAATAAATAATGTAAAAAGAAAAAAAAAGAAAGAAGCCAATCACAATGCAAAATACCTCTTTTGAGATGAGAAAGGCGGCGGATGAAAAAAGATATCCAAGAAAGATTTAAAAAAAAATTGGGCAAAAGACGTTTGTTTGCAAATGGGAAAAGAGGAATCAATGGGGTAAAAACAAGAAGATCTTCATAGAAGAATCCCTTTCAACCGGATAAGCCAAAAGATAGAGAATAATAAAAACCAGAATATTGTATGCCATTCCAAAACCAGCGCCAACAGCAAATATTCAATTATTGAAAATATCCCCACCCCTTTAAAACGCCATCCTAGTTCCAGAGTTGAATGTAATATGAAAAGCAAAAATAAATAAATAAATAAATAAATAAAAATAAAAATCGATATCCAATCCAAAAGTTGGCGTTTAAAAGCGTCGCTGGCTGTATACAGAGAGAAGCACCGGGCACTTGATAAAACACATGTTTGAAAAGCATGTAGAGGGGTAAAGACATTATTATGGCGTTTTTTTGTAGTCGGTGGTGGGCAGTTGGTAATGGTGTCGTCATCGTAAGTCAAACAGGTGAAGAATTTGCCAGTAAAGTAATAATTTGCGGCGGAAACGGAAATGCGATGCAGAACGGCGGGGTATAGAATATTCGCTTTCGATGGCTAAGACAACCCCTCCCCCCACAGCCTCCCAAAAAAAAAAAAAAAAATATCAAGGTAGAACAAAAAATTCAGACATTCGTGACGATTTATTTTCCTTTTGCTTTGTTTTCTTCGTTTTCTCGTTTTCTCCCTTTCACAAATGCAGAATCCTTTCAGGCGT